AAAGAGCAGGTAGATGAAGTTTGACTTGAGGCAAAGATTTCCGTCTTGGGGACTGACCAGCCAGGGTTCTTTGTAAATGTTTTTCCTTGCACACTAATCATCTTGAAGAAAACACTAGCTGCTAACTCTAGGATTTGCCTTTAATATGTTTTATAGGGCTCAAAAGCAAGGTTTTCCGAATGTGTTTGTCCATGTGACATATTTATATAGTAAATACTCTAGTGTCTCGCTGCTGTTCAGTACTCTCAACAGGGCGATGTTCTTTCGTTAGCTAAATTAACATCCACTCCCAATCCTTAACTCTCTGCCAGTGTCCAGTGAATCCAACTGGGATTTCTAGCATCTTGACGTGGCGCATCACTCTAATCGAAGATGGAAACTCTACCAAAATACGTTTGAGCAGCCCCTTAGTGAGGAGCTTTGTGGTACTAACAGTTGACGGAAGCCTGGGATGAGGTGGTCGTCCCATGGAGGTGACTGTGGTTGCCCCCCGGGGCAAGTGGTGACCGTGAATTGTCCTGTCCTTTCCTCTGCTATGTTTTTATGTGGAATTGGATGTTTTGGGGTCATTCTTTTGCATTGCAGTGTTGTTGAAATGCAGCGAAACTGATTTAGGAAGGGTACCTGTATTTTCCTGGGTTTAGAAAGAAAGACAAAAATGAAATGAAAGGCCAAAATTGTATGGGTTTTACCATGTGAGAGTGGAGGGTGTGCCCAGAGCATGGTGCTAACACAGCGTTTTGAAGTTCAGCTCCTCTATCACAAACAGCAGCAGTGACAGCGGGGACAGGCTATACCTGCAAGTTCAGTGGGTTCATTCTTTTGCTTCTGTTATGGTTTGAATTTGGTCAAAGTCTCTGGCTTAAATTGAGCTACTTCAACAGAATTCTCTCAACCCATCTCTTTGTGTAATGTCAAGCATGACTGAATGCTGAATCCAAATGGTGGCTATCCCATATTGGCTTTTTTGTATTCAAAAAGAACTGTGTAGTAACCATTTTTACATGTATACCATGTGCAGACCTGGACTATTCCAACAAGTTAATATTTTAATTAAAATAGTTTGCAAAAACTGATTCAGATCAACTGGTCTAAATGTGTGTGTCCCTGTGTGTACGTGGGGGAAGGAAAGCAGTCCCAAACAAGCCTGATCTCGAGAGAAAGCACCCCATTACGCAGCTGTAGCCAGAGGGACTCAGGATTAGGCTGTGCCTTGGACGTATATGAAGAGGCCCTTGGTGTTGAGAATTTTAATGTATCTCGGGTATATTTCTGAGATACATAACTATGAAATACGCTAGAGAGACGCAAACACTCTCTGAATCAGTTTGCAAACTCTGTTTTTAAAAGTAGGACCAATTACTCCATATTGTACTCGTTGCAGTCGTGCCCTAACTTTGGTTTTAAAAATACTGTAATCTGTAAATTGTGGAAACTACTCCAGTACCTCAGCAAAGATGTTCTTTTACATCTTTTGTGTTCGTATTTAACACTGGGGAAACTCTTCTGTGTGGACTACTTTGCAAATTTTATTGCAGTATTTTCAAATCACCAGCTTCACCCCTGAAATCTCTTATTCTGTGGTTATTTTTCTCTCCCCTTTGCAAAGACCTAAAGTTCTGATGTAGTTTAGCCCAGAGATGAAAAAAACAGAGGAGACAGCATTTTCACCTCTTTCTGATTTGAATTTCTTTTGATTTTATTTAATTAAAATCAGTGAAAGGGACCACGTTTTTCTTGTTCTCCATGGTCCCAGGGAGTCAGCAGCCACCTCTCCCTTCCATGTTGAACGTTACGTGCTTTCTTCCTCAGATGCAGCACTGAAATGGAGGCAGGCTCTGTTTCACCTGCATTCGCTCCAAGCCTGTGAGCTTCAAAGGGGTTGAAGAACTAAACGTGGTACGATACCAAGCTTTCCACAGAAAATCCCCTGCAGCCATTCCTTGCCTGGCTTGGGGCCAGGCTGGCATCGCTCTGTATCCCACCCAGCCCTCCCACTCCAGAAGAACGTGCATTGCACACGAGCTGTAACCCTGGTAGATCCTGGGATGATGCTGTTTATTACCCCCCCCCCAAGGGAAAAGGGCCCCTTGCACTTTGGGCTGCCCTGCCCCCTTGACCCTGCTTACGTGCCATTTCTTGAGAGGCAATAAATTGTATTGTACCACTGTCTACCATTACTCTGTTGAATACGCACATCTCTCTGGATATATATATATGGTATCTCATTTGTATATATTTATATACTCTGTATGTACGTGTGTGTGGGTATATGTGCACACACATCATGCTGTGCATTTCTGTCAGGGCACTTCAGTTCTGCTGTTCTTTAGCACTCCTGTTCATGAGCAAAAGCAACCCCTGCAGCAGGGCTCTCTAGGGCGGGGGCACGTACATCTGCACAAGCTGGGCTAGGGCTGAATGCAGTCGAAAGCCCTCACTTAAATACTGCCCTGCTAATTGTAGCTTTCTTTTTCTGGGGAGCGGGAGGGTAGGCTAGCTGCTATGGGTGTGCTGTAAAGGAGAGAAGAGAGCTCCCAGAGGGTACCAGAAAGTCAGAAGACAGCAGAGAAGAAAACAAGATGGTATAGCGATAGGAAAGCAGTTGAGGCAATGTACCGATCTGCTGGGGAGGCGGTGAGTGGGCCGGTGAAGTGCTCAGCAGGCTGAGCTCAGAGTCCCCAGCTGCGTCTCGCCACGAAAGATCACAAGCCCGACACGGTCTTGGCACGCTGCACCGGCACTAACTTTTGGCAGTCCTGAGTTCAAGCCGCCGCTAACTCCGAACGCTGTCTACCTTTGTGTGCGTCTAATAACTAGAGCAGGTTTTGTGGAGGATCAAAAGAGAAGCTATATTGGAAGATTTAAAAGATTATGTGTCTGTGTATGTGTGTACAGCACATACATATATACGTATATATACACACACACACATCTTTGGTCCATTCTTTATTCTGCCTAGGCATGTGTGTTTTGTTACTCGAGTCCGGCAAGCAGAGGACAGCCTTGGTCTCCTGGGTGCTTGCTCTGCATTGCTAGTAAATCTTGCCCTGGTCTTTCTCATAGCAGGGGGGCGAGTGCCATGCTGGACACCACGAGCTCCTCAAGCTGTGAAGACCCTTCTAACCTTCTCCTTTGTCCTCTACAGACCCCACCTTAGTGAGACATCTGGCAGTTTGGGGGATAAATGGTTCTCACGTGTCAAGTCATAAATGTTCATCCAGCTGCGATATTTACCCCCTGGGGAAGCCCAGCCAGCTCAGCAGCACGCCAACTTCGGGCTCTCTTCTTTGTGCAATCAGAGAATTTGGAGGCAATTTTCCCCCTTGTCCCTTTTGGAAGGTCTCTTGTGAGCTTTTTAGGTGAGGCTCGGGTTTGATTGGGACATCCTTACCCTTTCACAACGAGTAGCGTCATCTTTAGCTGTGCTCCTGCCTGTGGGACTTTCCCACCCCGGCGCTGGCCGGCAGCGAGCCCAGAGCCACGTGCCAAGGATGGAGGAGTGGTGGATGCCCAGACAGGGACGCCGGTCGGTGTCCCTCTGCTGTGTTTGTTTCAGTTTGCACTTTTACGAGTCGATTGAGCCGGAGTCTGTTGAGAAATAAGTGTGAGGTGCTTCGGAGGGTTGTGGGTAGCTGTTTACAGCCAAAAAGAAAAGCTGGTAGATCCTAGTGGTCATAGTAAACGTCACCCCACCAGGGAAGGA